CCAGCTGGATTTGGATGTCGCTTCGGAGGAGCGGTCTTTCGATGAAGCAGAACAAAGCCCTGCAAAAATCGTGTGGTCTACTTGCATAAATACCCATTGAGTCTGCTTCAAACCCAAACAACCAGGCTTCCACACCAGCCGTACTAAGAATCCGAGAAATCCTGATACCACAGCTCCAGCCATGTTGACTATGTCATCACAGACCTTTCAATCTGTTCGTGGTTACATCTCCTCCTACTCGCTGGTGGTGCACCACTTCATCACTGTTGGCCAAGTATCACCAGTTCAGTTCGCACCTGGGAGGAAACAATGAGAACATATGAGAACCCCTTGGGATGACAAAGTAGGGCTGGTAGCCGCCTGTTTTCTGGTCATCTCAAATGCTAACAAGACTAATTGGAGATTTATTTGAACCTATTCTATATACCTTTGTGGTGGCGGGTCACACTGGCATTGGGCTTCCGATGCCAACTCACCCTCCTTTGATGAAACGGATTTTACCTCTGCCACCTTTGTTTTGTGGACGCTGTTCAGAGAGTCCTAAAAGACCACCGCTGTCGATGTGGGCGATAGGATCTGTCAAAGGATCGCCCATCAGCTTGGACCCAAAAACCTTTTGAAAAACGATGGTCAACTTGGATCTGTCAGCCTCTCAACAAATCTGAAGCTAAGGTGGCCTGGTTTGAGCCGCTATGTTACATGTTGTGTGGAATCGACCGACAGGGACGGTCCGTCTTGAGTCTTGCGTTATATAAACATGCGTTGTTTGTGTGTTTCAGTAGAAGTATCTTTCGAGAAGCTGGAGATCGGACGTGCTGAAATCTCAGGTTGTAAGTTCCTCGCCTCATGTTTCTTTTCAATTCTTTTGAAAGCAGGGGGAGCTGGTCAGTCAACAGTTTTGGGAGGCCGAGACTGTGTTTGCACGAAGTTGATGGCCCGGGTCCTGGTCATTGCCCAAATGTCATTCCAAGCCAAACAGAAGTTGCAAATGTCGTGTAAAGGCAGATTAGATCCCAGGTGTTCATCTGTTTTCCTTGCTGATTTGAGATAAAAAAACAATATGTTTTCCGAAGTGTTCTCCCCACTTCGCAGTGAGCTGGCCTTCAAGCGCGAGTCTTCCAGTTGGACCATGCGCTGCCACTGGCCCAGGAGCGCCTCTCGCTTCGGCCCCGGTCTCGCGCAGCGGGGGGGACCGTGGAGGCGTGTCACCTCCAACTTATCCATCGGAATAGGCATACAGCCCCCAACTCAAAGTCTTTCCATGTCTTGTCGATAGAAAACAAGCATGAAAGAAATGCCAGGAAACTCTACGGAAAATCACATACAGTACAAAAACTGTCTTGCTGTGCACTCTCGTGCTTGGCCACCTTCCTCACCATTTCTAGCATCGGTCCCAAAAATCTGCAACCATGCTAGAAATGCATGCAACCGGGACGCCTTAACTTTAACTTTGCAAACACAATAGTCACACAAAGGCAATTGGAGAACACATATCATGAAAAAATCCGTAAGTTGTTTTCCTGGATACACATATATACTGTATATATATTTATATATGTATTATTTATGTACAATAATTATATATGATATATGAATGTACGTGCAGCATCTTCCAACCCTTTCAATAGGTCTCGATTCCGCGTCATGCCTTTAAGTAAACCTCTTTAACTCTGGGAATGAAGGCTTTTTGTTGCTCAAGACTGGTTGTCCCACGAGAAACGATGAACTAGGTCCGAGGGGAATCAGGTTGCCAGGGTCGGTCTTGTTGGAAAAGGACCTCACCGACGAAGCCTCGGCAGCACGCCTGGGCCTGGGAGCTCTTGTTTCGCGCGAGCTCGTCTTGCCACTTGCTTCTCTCTTGCTCGGCAGTATCTTGGGAGCATGCTCAGAGTGGGACATGATCTTCAAAGTTCTTCACTATCTTTTGCTGTATCAGAATCAACAGTTGGATTTGTCTCAAACTACATCGAGGACTTCTGAAAGCACTGTTATGCGGGAACAACCAACTATACAAACACGTAACTTCGCATGTAGGGCCACGGTTATGTGTCCGCTTGGACCAGTCTCCAACGTTGAGACTGCCGAACACGTTGAGCTAGAGCGCTTTTGCATGTGATAGTCAATAGTCAGGATCCTATCATAAAGAATCCTCTTCCCCTGTTCAGAGGTTGCGAAGACGACTTCTTCCACTGAGGGACTGATCTTGAGTTGCTATGTTGAAAACGACTATTGCAATCACCAGCCATACCTCGCCACAGCACGGTTCAAATGATTTGGAGAACAAGAATTGTTCCGCATGTTGCTACAGTGGTAAAATTTAGGACAGATCAGAGATTGCAGAGAACCGATTTACAGCTGGACCGCAGTTCTTTCGTGCTTCTTGTCAATCTGTCCTGATTCTGGTCCTTCAATTAATGGGCACAATATGTTTTCCGGAAAGCAAAACGAACAGCCCAACTGCTGACCAAAAGTGTCTAAATCATATAACTTTTGGGGTTGAAATCTGGGATAACACGAACAAAATGTCCCGAGCCGTTGCTGAAGTTCAGGCCTGGCCAGGCAACTTGAAAGGCCTACAAATCGAACAGCTGTCAATTGGATCTTTCTTAGCTGTGGATGAACAAAAAAAATGCTAAATAGGCGATGGGGAACCCGGGTCTCAAACCAGCACGAAGTGAACCGGGCAAGCCAAGATGCCCAATTGGTACAGCGTCCTTTTCAAGTGCCCAATGTTGTTGTCAGTGGCCATGCGCCTGAGTCGATCTCGAGTTCTGTCTCCCAGTGGTAGTGGACGACGTGGTGTTGGGGGTTCGTTCTGAGTTCAATGAACAAATCAGGCGCGCATTCCGAATCGTAGTGGACGACGTATGACGACAGGGTGGAACCCGTGTCGACGCCGGCAAACTATGAAATCACACCCAGTCCAGATTGGTATGGCCGTACAAAAGTCTTAGTGGTTCATGTTGGGTCCCAAAAGTTCCCCGATGTGCAACAAAAAAGAGCGACCCATCCGCAGGCAGTTGACCGACTGCGGCTTTTCATTGAAATCAATTAAGTTGGCTTAGAGTGTTACTACTTTGGTTGAAAGTCATCTACTAATCGAGGTATTTCACCGACTGCTAAATAAGGATGCGCACCAAAGCACTGAGACTTCTCACCTGTTGATTGTCGTATACACAAGGGAAGATTAACATGGAACCTGACAATTAGATTACTTTCTTCTACAACCCACTGGTTTTCTGTCTTGAAGGGCATATAAACTCTCATGAGCAGTTCCAGTTTTCTCGATCGGGGCGAAACGAGGCTCGTTCCAATGGGTGACTGGGATCCCGGAACTGAACTCAAAAATCCCATGTGGCCATATGTGGCCCATGTGGGGATTCCATCTGCACCTTCCTTCCCCCCGATGCAAGTCGCCAAGGCACCGATCAGGATTCTTCAAGTCCTGCTCGATGTTCCAGCTGTCCTGGAAGATCTGAACCTGTCGAATGGGCCGAGGTACCAAACACCGAAGCCACGGTGCTTTGGCTGAGTGGGATTGGAAAAATGTGCCAGAGACACACCTTTTTGGAGTCTTCTTTAGGGGGGGTGCACAAAAATTGCTTGTAGGATCATTGTGGGGATTTTCAAGTGTGGGAACACTGACAATCCGTAGTTTGCTTCCAAGAACTGGCACGGGATCAAACAACTGTGCAAATTTGGGAACTGATTTGGGAGTATGTCTTCGAAGATATTGTTCTTTTAGGATGCTTTCGCAAACCTTTCGCAGCTTGCGTTTTTAGCTTTCGCCCCTTTCGCGAAAGCATTGAGTTTACAAATTGTCCACTCTGATCAAATGGGCCCTCTTAAACCAATACTTACAGTAGCTGTTTGGTGGAAATCCTCTTGCCAAGAACGCACCAAACGCTTCAGGGAAGCTTCGACGGTCCGAGCCAATCAAGTGGCCCCAATCCCTAATCCAAGCGAAGCTCACCCTGTGCTGTGCTTTTCAAAGCGACGCTCTTACACTAAGCTTAAGTGTGGAGCTCGATCCACTCCGCAACTTGCATAATCGATATCCTTTGAGCAGACATTTCTGCCTCAAAGGGTCACCAAAACATTACCAAGGGTCTTTTACAAACAAAAGGAGCCTTCCAAAACTCCGGCACTGTTTCCTAGAAAGTACAGTGTCATGAACATTAGATAGTTAGCTAGGTTCAAGATTATTCAAAGAGGTAACCTCTCATTGACGACGGTTCTTTCTGGTAAGATTTGCTAGGGCTAAACTGCAACCAGGAATTTGGAAGCAGATGTTGGAGCCACGCCCTACATGGGGTACAGTACCCATCCTTCACCCAGCCAAACGACCATCGACAAAGAGGCCCCCACCATGGCGTCCCACCGCTGCCCAAGGTATCGTGTCTTTTGCAGCCACCTGAGAGTTGTCTCCTTCAGTGGCGAGGAAGCTCAGGCGTCGGGGTGCCAGTGTGTCGATTTGTGTATCTTCAGATGGTTTGGGCACAAGCTCTGGCCTTACTTTGGAAGTTGGAGTCTAAACCTGGCCCGTGTTCGGTCAGTTCTACAAATATACAAAGTGATTGTATCCGAGTGATTGTATCCTATGGCAGTAAAGCCATTGTGGCTCCCCCATTCACTCTCACCGAATAAAAGGCAGGGTTCGTGCTATTTGTGGTGAAGGTTGCTTTGGAAGCTGCTTTGCAAACGAAAAGAACACTTTGGGCTCTCTGTGGAAAGTCATTCATCGGGTGATCCTAACGTCTAGCGCAGTGAAATGAGAACTAAACCAGAACCTACAGCCACAAGAAAGCAACAATCAACAAACCAACTCGTCTCCCACTGCCAAACAGCCAACGCTCTTTTTTAGCCCAGAGGATGGAACTGAAACAGTCATCAGCTCAACTAAGGCTGACAAATCTGCATCAGCTTATAGCTGACAAAATGTCACCACAGTCAGTCGGCACTGCGGCCATCTCTCCCTTCTCGCAGAGCAAGTGCCGACTTTACCAGGGGTCTGTGTCTGGCAAACACTCCCCCTTCCTTGCTTTCTTGGCCGGATGATTTCTGTCCTTTCTCGCCTTTGCAGATTTCACCTCTTCATAGAGATCTATCCCAAACTCCAGGGCTTCTGCCAGCACCTCCCCACGAAACTCATTCAGCTTGAAGCGAAGCCGCTTGGAATCTGCGAAACCGCTGAAGTCACCATTCGTGAGTTGGTCTGCTTCCACATTCTGAAGTCTAGGCAGCCAGTGAAGATGTAGTTCTGCTCCTCTCTTTTGTAATTGCACCGCCAACTCCATATTGAACACGCACAAAGGGAACTTTGTTGTCATGCACCTTGACACCGCGTGGCTGTTACCTTTGTTGTCTGTCCCAGCTGAGAAGCATCCTGCGACCCCATCGCCGCCACCAGGCTCGAACAGCAACACCGCCGCAAGGGTTGCCAGCAGCTCCAATGATGCAATTGATCGATAGCTCTCTCCCGCCGCGAACACCCAGCTGGCGCCTTGATGATCTAGGCATTCGGCAAACCAGCGGCACTGCCGCAAGTCAGAATGATCCAAGGACCAATCCAAACTCTGCCCTGTTCCAACAGCTTGCACCCTGTGTCCACTAGCCAACACTTTGCTGAGGAAGCCCATGCGTCGCATCATGGATGACCCGAAAGCTTCCATCTGATTTTTCCAGAGCACCCAGAGATGCAATTGTAATTTTTCCCAAGTTCTTTTCTGCCTGCGCAGAATTTGTCTCCTCCATCGCGCCCAGCTCAGCTTCGCTTTCAAACTGCTTTTGCACAACATCCCGACGCTCTTTGGCTGTGATGTAATTTTCCCGCACGCCGGCTTCTTCCTGGATGTGCTCGTAACAGCGCCAGTGTTGCTTGGCAGTAAACAAAGCTGGTACACAAGGCAAAGTGCAGTCAACTCCTAACCGCACTCCTTCTGCAAAGGAGTTAGTCCCACTGTGGTACGCTGCTGCATCTGGGTCTCCAGCTAAATCCAATATTGCTTCTAGCGCGCATAGATAAAAGGGCTGCCCCTCAGCTTGCTCTTCAATGGGCGCTTTGCAATTTGCCTTCCGCAACTCTGCAAAAATTATCTCGCGACCACTCTGCAGTAAATCATCGGTGAAAGGGCAGCTGGTGACTTTTCCAGAAGCAAGAAGAAAACCAATCTTGCGCACATCCAAACAATGTTGCAAATGTCGAAGCAAACGACGACCAAGCAAATAATGAAAATTCAGGTTTGGATTGTCGCAATTGTCTTGCCTCATCTCGGGACTCCAGCGCCCAGGCGAACATAGCCCAAAACCATCTGTGAAAGTCTTGCGTTTCCCATTAAAATTGCAGAACAATGGAGGGCCCTGGCCCCTGACACCTTGCAAATGGATGCCAGCACCACCTTCCTCATACTCAGCCTCATCTCTTGCAGCTTCCTCATCCATGCTGCCAAAATTGTCGCCACTCTGCGCTTGACTGCTCCCAACCACCGGCGACGGAGTGGCAGGGCCCAAATCCTCTAGTCAAGGCTCGGCCTCGACCTCTGTAGGGGACTTACTGCCCTTGTACTTGCATTGCTGGAAGGAATGTTTCCCGAAGCACCGTTGGCAAACATGGGCAAAAATCACGCCGTTGCTTTTTGCAGCCGCTGACTTTGTTAAAATTGAAGCAAATGCGCTGACCATTCGGAGCAGAAGCGGCTTTTCCCCATTGGCGGTCCCACATGTCGCGACCCTTGCCCTTGTTCTTGCCTTTGCCCTCGCCTTTTCCCAAGCGATGTACTGGGGGCCAAGCGCCGGAATCTCCATGATGGTCCAACTTGCCAAGCTGCAATGGAGTGACAAAATGTACTCCGTACAATGCCGGGGCTTCACACGCCTTGGCCAAGGCTGTTCCGATGTCCGCACAGACATTGTCACGCACATACCGATAGGCAGACTTTCTAAGCTCCAGTTCATAAGTGAGCACCAAAGACCAACTGGGCCCAACACCTACGGAAGTGCGAAGCCCAGCCACTGTAGAGCCCAAGACATGATCGGACAATTTGCGGAAGTCATCCACAATAGAAGCATTGATCCAAGCCCGATTAGCATGCCGAGACTTCACAAATGCCCAAGCAAGACCCAAACGCCGATGGCGGAGTCGTAGCTCCTCGGGATTGCCCGGCGGGGTTGTATAGTGCTTTCGCCTGGCCGAATCCGCAGGAAGTTGGAGCCCGGGTCCACCACGGCACTGCAAGCTTCCACTGCAGAATCTTCAAAGGAGGTGGCTTCCCGCAAATCCTCCGCAACTGGTGCGCCAATTGCTCCAGCTTGGAGGCCACCAAACTTTTGCTGGGAGCCTCTTTGTCACGAAGGCTGCCTTGCATAGCTTCCACTGCGGACCTCATGGCGGCGTATTCCGTGGTCTGGATCAAGCGCGCCTGCCCACTTGCATTGGCATCAAGCTTTTGCTTCACTTGCATAGCGCGCTGTGTTTTGGCGCTTTCCCAAACCCCGACCAGCAAAGCCACCTCTTTGCGAATGGCCAAGCTTGTCTCCACATCCAAACCGAATTGCTTCAAAGCAGCACGAACCCCAGCTGAGGTCTCATCCAAGCCCGCAAAACTGATCAACGCGTCGAAGCCCCTGGGTAATTTTCTTCTGGGTGTCAGAACTGACCCCAGCTTCATCCATGAGGAAAAGCAAAGCAGAATCGGCGCAGGCCATGACGGACAAATGCCGAAACAGAAAATAAATCAAGGGAACTAAAGAAGAGAGGAGAAGGCTGCGACGGCGGCATCTTCCTGGTCGGGACCCCAGGATCCAGCACATGCTTTAAGAACTAAAGCATGCAAAGAAACCCAGCGCACCGACACCATGCGCGAAAGGGAACCCCTTGCCAGAAACACACACTCACTCCAGGTGTGCTAAAAACATGCGTCAATCCAACGCGCAATAATGGGGAAACATGCGCCTATCAGCGCACAAAAGACATGCGCCAAACGCGCACAAACGCCCTCCTAGAGGTGAAACAGAGAAGTCGAGTTGACAGCCACTTGGGGCCCATAAACATGTGTCGATCAATCATTTGAAGCTGCTCGGAGTCATCTCCTTCCTCAGCTTCAGACACAGTGATGTTCTCGCCAGCCCGCCAGCAATGTTTGCACGCGAGATCATATAGGAGGCCGCGCAATGTCCACACATCTTCGGAGCACTGCACATCAACCATGGAAACCCCGCACCCATTACGTCGGTGGAGGCGCCGCAAGCGCTGGCTGCCCACAATAGTGACAAAGAAAGGGCTTGGGCTGCAGCATTCGTCTGTGTCTTGACATTCCTCAGGCGGAGCTACAGCTGCTTCTGCAGGATCAGGGAAAGTAGGCTCTAATCCCAAACCACCGGCAAATTTGGGGTCCAGCCATAGAACTTTGCGTTGTTGGGCCGCAAGCTCCACACTGCCGCCCTTCTCAACAATGCTTTGAATCAGCTCGTCAATGCCAGACTCCCGAAGGCCCCAACGGTCTTCCCCGCCTAAACTTGCTACAACTTTTTCTTGCAGGGTGACCAAGACCTGCTGAGAAGTCCGAAGATATTCGTCTGCAGATGTGGTGATGTTCCACCTCCCGATGAAATTGCGTTCATTCGGGGGCACGCCTAAGACTGCTAGTAGAGAAACCAGCCAATTCCGTTCACTGTGCTCAGTCCAAAATTTGAAGGCTTCTTCCACTAGAAGCAAAGGAGAATCACTTTGGATCCACACTCCCCGTGACCAAATCGGCACTTTCAATTGTCGCAAAAGCAGCTTTGTTAAACCAACCACTTCCGAACACCTTCCCAATCAGAGGGAGGGAGAGGCAGGAAATAGTCGCGGTCGAAATTCATATCAGCATGTCTCCAGACATCTAGACCAATGGAAAGCCAAGATGGCGCCATGACAAATGCTGATTTGCTCACAAACACGGGCAGATGCCGCACGCGTTTGCCTGGACCAGTGGTTTTTGTGCGCTCCAAGCAACCCACTAATCCATGCGGAGTCCACCGCAAGGAAACAGGATTCAGACCCGACAGGTCATGTGAGCGAGCAGCCGTCCATAGCTTTAAAAGTTTGAAAAATGCTAGCCCCCGAGCAACCAACAGCTCCAAGGCACCCGCTTCGGGGGGGGCACCCCCCTCTAGATCCATGGTGCTCTGATCAACAAAATTTCTGAGAACTTGCTCTCCGGAAACACGGTCACGAACTGCCACGCCACCAGCTTTCTCCATAAAGCTAAAGGCAGCTAAAATTGAATGAGGCACAGTTCGCGCACAAGGCTCAGCGACCCTTTCTTGAAGATAGTCCGGGACGATGCCCAAATTTGGAGGCCATGCAATCCCAGCCACTCCTAGCGAGTAAGCGCGCAATTTGCGCCATTCCCTTACTCTGGCTTTGATGGTACTAGCACGCATACCACCTGGAGCCGAGCTGATGATTTTGTCAGGTTCACGACAGTTACAAGCTTGCATAGCCAAGGGAAGCTTCGCCTCAGCAATCAAGTCTGCTAACTCCGAGCGCCAACGCAGGAGCTCAGCCGCTTCCCGCGCCGCACGGGATTGATCTGATCGAGTGGTGGCACGATGTGAAACCCGCAAGTCACACCTGCGCTTTGCACCAGATTGTTTTCGCAGCCAGGAAACCGTGTCTTGCAGCCCCTGAACAGGCAGAGCGCGATGCGCCGCAGAATCCACGGGTCCAGAAAATCTCTCCATGAGCTGGCCTAGTTCGCTGCGAGTGTCAGTCAAAAATGCAAGGACCTCATCTCTAGGCTGGGTGCCACCAGCTTCGCCCAGCTCAGCCCGGAATTTGCGCGGCAGTCTTTTCCACAACTGCCGATCGCTGTATGCAGACAGCTCATCGGGCGAGTCGGACGATGTGTCGCCCGACATAGCAAAAGAAAAGGAAAACAGAATCCAACAGCAAGCAAGCCACTTGCACCAACAGCAAGCAATTCACTTGCATCAAATAGAAACGGAAAGTCACCCCTGACATCAACAAGTTAAATCAAAATTCGGTCAACACAGGAAAACCCCCTGCCAAGAACCAGCTAAGACTACCGGATCACCCTTACTGGCCACTGGGCCACACCGCCTTTTCCATTCGAGCACTGAAGAAGTGCATCTGCTTACCTATCTTTTCCTCATCTGTTCCTCATTTTTCGGGTGGTCTATGCTAATCTAAAGTAGGCTCCCCACAAACGACCTCAGACCAAAGCCAAAAACCTTCAGTTCGCTTGAGGCGACCAACCAACCTTCAAAATAAAACTTTGTCGAACTAACCAGGCGTTCAGGGCAGAAGGAGCTTCCAAGACTCCCCACTTGTTCGAACCGATGGTTAGAATGCAGCAATGCACCATCCAAGAAATAGCGATAAAGTTAGGTTGGTCACGTGGCAATTAATTCTACGAATCGCATAGGAATTCGACAAATCCGCATTGTCTATGTCGACATCCCTCGTCGAGGTCAGCATCCCAGGTGTTGTGTTTGTTTGTTGTTCTTTTTTTCGAAAGTCCCGGACATTCATCATTCGTCAACTTTGGTCCTGGAAGGGCTCCGCGTGTAGCAACTCCACTGTGGTCTTCACGGCAATCTCCTGGACCTCTGAGGCTAGTTGCTCATCCTGGCCAGGTGGGGGCACCCTGCCAGGGTGGATCGTCAATGGCCCGGGCGATGAGTGTCCAACGTGTCCACACATGTTTGTCGAAAAAGGAGGGTACCAGGGTACTCGAAGGCGAGAAGTCTGCGATCCGAAATGGGGAAGCAAACTTTGGAGATGGGGTCACCTGAAATTTCACCCAATGTGGAACTTGAGAACTTGCCAGTGCACCGGCATGGAATAGAGATGAATAATTAGAGGGATCCAATCTCAGAGTGCAAAACGGTCTCAGAGTGCAAAAGATGTATAGCCCTTTTCCTTGGCTTAAGTATTGCTTTTCGTGGCTCACATGTCCGGACAGGTCTGGAATGTCAGCACACTTTTCTGTTCGCTCACGTCGGATCCGACAGAAATTCCCGGCCTATAGCTAAACATACTAACATTCAAGTGGGCATGAACAATGTAAGCGGGTTCATCCATCAATATCCATCATCCCTGGCGATCCGATGTGGCCTCGATGTGCTTGGCCAGAATCATGCATGCCTCAAAAAGGCGAGGGCAAGCACTGGGGCTGTGCAGCTGCCGCCTCGGCCGGCGTTTTTCGCGGCCTCGTTGGTGCGAACCTGGCACCCAGTGAGGAGGGAGGTTCGGTAGGGAGAAGTGCGAGTGCGAATGCCACTAATGGGAAAGTCAAGTGAAATGGAAAAGGACATAAAAGGACTATATCATGAATATGTCTTTCATCTTTCACCTTCACGCTTTGCTTCGACAAGCGACTCTTGGCAAAAGGTCCGGACCAGCTTCTGAACCTGGCGGGTGAAAAGATGCCTTGGGGCATGGAAGGGATTTGATTCCGCTTGAGTGCCAATCGAAAACCCACAAGCTTCGGTCAGGAAGTGACCGGTCACTGCGTGGTCACAGCTGCAAGCCCCGTCCGCAAGTTGAAATCGGCGATCCCGCCTTTCCCGGCAGGTCCTCGTTGGCGCCCCCAGCAAGCCCCTTCGCCACCTTGAAGCTTCGAGCAGGGGCCAGAAGAAGGACACAGTCGGACATGATATGATATTTTAATAGAAAGAAATCACCTGTTTAGAGAACTCCAGTGCAACATGAAGGACATCCAAAGGTCCAAAAGCATATTGTTTCAGGAAAAACGGTCGGATAACCCGAGGTACGAAAAAGCAGGACCTCCGATCGGCGTCAAAGCATGCAAACGAAGGAAAGCTACATTTCCCTCATCTGCATGTTTGGTGCTATACTGCAGCCTATCGTCGCTGGACAATCAGCATGCTATAGCCTCGGAATTAGACTGGAAACCATGAGCCGCTAGCTCTTCCAGTAAGCATGGCCTGCTTCATGAGCTGCTCCAGCAATGAAATGTCTGCAACGCACTGCTTCTCGACAAAGACTGCCTGCAGCTAGCTGTGGTGCAATTGAAACCCCCAAAAAAAATCAAAGCGTTTTGCTGTAAGCATCCTGCCCTGCAACATGATAGTCAATGATAGTCATGATAAATCCGCAAACATCTCATGTTGATGAAGAACGGGTTGATGTTCAGAGTCTTCCTGTCTCCTTAGTGGCTCCAACTCAACCTGGAACACTCGGTCCCCAGTTCCAGGGACCGGTTCCGCAAACACCGCTGAAACGACGGGCTCGCCTTCTCCGTGGCCGGCAGCATGGGAAAGCCTGGGCGTGTAACGACTAATCGGCCCATTCATCCAACACAACTGAACAACACAAAGGTGAGGTACAGAAGTTCAGATGCTTCGATAGGTGTCTTTTTTGAAATTTGATAGAGAAGTTGATGCAATTCACTGAGCCCTCGAAACCGCTTCTGCAAACCAACATCTCTCTTGTGGGTGGAACTGCAACCAAGCCACTGCTTTCCAAATGCTGGAGCAACTTCCTGAGCGATCAACATTTTAGCAACACATCAGGTAAACTGCTCAACCTCATGGTGCATGATCACCTTCCTGGCAAGCAGGCTGAGGCCATGTCGGGCGATGTTTGGCTTTGGAACATGAATATCGAGGGGCCGACCAACGTCAAACTGGCTTCCTCCCCTACCTTCCTCAAACGTCGATGCTCCACTCACTAGGCTCCCGTGGCACGGCTCCCGATGGGAGCTGACGCAAGCAAAGACCAACCAAAGCTTTTGGAACACCAACCAACTGGTATTTTGCAACCAAACAGTAGGCCTGGTCATGCCGCCAGATTGAGCCGAGCCCATGAGTGAACGGAAGCACCGAGAAGCCAGGACAGCTTCCAGTTGTCGCTCCGAACCACATGTGCGATCACTTCGCTGACCTCAGGTCCCAGGAAGTGGAAAAAAACCGTGGCAAGCACCGCACACCTTTTGAGACTTTTGAGTGCTAGCTTTTGTGAATGTATGATCTTTGTTCTTCCTTCTATGCGTTAAGTGTATATGGGTGTGGATCAAAACTTGGAGCGTCAAAACCCGGGTTGGTTGACCTCCCAGGTACTTCATTCTGTTCATGCAAGGTTTCCCGGTGTTGACCCATATCTATATATAACATATATATATATAAACACGACCTCAGTTTACTTTTCCCACGCGTTGCAGAAAGTTTGTCTACAAAAACAACGAACTCATGCCTACAATTACCTCTCGGGGCCCCGACTCTCTGTTCCCTCGCCAAACCGACAGGAACAGAGAGCCCCCCAGGATCCCCTGAGGCCACATCCGCCAAACCGGATGTCCCCCAGGCTCGAATACTATATGAGAGGGAAACCATCATTTGACCCACTCCAGTCTTTTAATTTCTCACCCCCGAGAAATCGAGCCGCGGATTCGGAAAAAATAAAACACTCAATCTTTCGGCTTGCCCTTCTTGGCTCCACGTCCCCCTGATCTGCAAGGCCTTAAAGGCGGTGCAGGCTCAAGGGTTGGGCTCTTGCGATACAAGTTCAGTCAGGTAAGGAATCAAGGATGAATTCGACAGAGACATATCCGCTAACTGTGCTAAACCGTCGTTCAAATATATACGGGCGGTACGGGCGGCTGCCCACCGCCCCTGGACAAGGAGAGTATCGAACGATCCGTGGTGGTTAAAATGGAACGTCGCCCCACCACGTCTCAAACTGTAGGGTCTGAAGCGCTGGTCAGTCAGGTGCAGTGCATCAATGGCACGAGCAAACAAAGCTCGCCAAGCATGAGGTTTGAAAGTTAAAAAGGCAGTTGGAGGATTCTGTTGTTTCCAACGCCATAGAGGTGGGAGGATAGACTGCTCATGCAGTGTTACACTCTCGGCCGCCCCTTGGCGTGCGCCTCCCTTAGTCAGGCCTAACGAGAGTACAGCCGGTCCTTTCGGCCCTGGGATGAACACATCCTTTGCCCGTAGGCTCAAAAGTTCTCCTGTGCGCAACAGACCAAAGCGACAAACCAAAGGTAGGACAATCGTTAAAAATTGACCAGCCACAGAGAGCATCCAGAACCTGAAGGGTAAGTGGCGGCGCCCGATTCGGGATCTCAACAGATGTCCAGGCCTTCAACAACCGCCAACTTCCAGGGAGTTTGCGCTTGAGTGACGGATCACGGTCCTGTAGCGCTGCCAAGGTGTTGTTGGCAATGGATTTCCCTTCGCCTGTGGCCCAGAGGTGTTCAAGGTAGTCACTAACTAGACCATCGAGGAGAGTTTGCCGCTTTGGGAGGACTAAACCCTCCCCTGCTAATCAGTCAAAGAACCGATTCAAGCAGTCTGTATATCGTTCTCTAGTGCAAGGTTGAACTGTGAGCCCTTTGAGTGAACCTAGCTTACTGCGGACTTTCTTGCGCTCCTGCTGGCTTTTTCCTTCCATTACTTTCGTGGTTTTCTTCCCCATTTCCGATGTAAGGTCTCCGCGACGGCCGATCGGCCGGGTTCTGGTGTGTGCCCACGTAGGCCCACACACCGACAAGCCCACTTGCCAACTGAAGCGCTCCAATCCTACACAAGGTTGGTTCTCCTCAACCGCCGGCTCGACGATCTCCCTCTCGACAATGCGTGCAACACCACAAGAGAATCGATCAAATGCAAAAAGCGGCATGCTCCTTCCTCAAGCTCTTTCAACCTCCAGACGATGGCTGTTTTAACAGCACGCAATTCCAAGGCGTTGATGTGCTCTGCAGCACCCGTCCAGCGCCAACCTGCCACATCCTTCCAACGCCAGAGCTTACTGGGAATCGATGCTCGCAACCTATGGTAACGCGCTGGGAGATCACTGCCCAACTGAAGCAGGATGTCTTCTCCTTTGACAGAAACTTGGCCTAAGAGGCGCGGAACTAGCCCGACTGATG